AAAAGAAAAGAAAAGAAAAGAAAAGAAAAGAAAAGAAAAGAAAAGAAAAAAAGACATTCTCTGGTTGCTCCAATAATATTATGGAAAGATCTACTGGTATTATTAGCTCTAGCTCCGACTTCCTACAGTTTTCAAGACATGAGGTAACTACCTGACAGAACATGGCTACACTGTCCTCATCTCTACTGCCAAAAGCCATGGGCCCAATGTAGCTCCATCACAACTTCAAGGGTAACCTTGGATAAATTCCTTCATATCTCAATTTCCTAACGCTTTCACAGACAGGGTTGAAAATGTTTTCATTCCTTAACAGGAGTATTATACCGCATCATTAGAAATGTGAACTTATTGGTGGCAAATGTTATATGAACAGGTTTTAATACAATTCTGTACATTTATTTCATAATTAGAAAACTATCTTAACGTTTTATTGTTTTGTTTGTTTCTTCTAGATTTCTTAGTTTTATATTAGCATGAAAGCAAAACTAGATTCTTCCATTTCATTTCTCTCATTGAAGTCAGCATTACCTGATAACAGGTTTGTGGGTTTCTTGCAACTGTGCCCAGCAGAAAATCTACTTGTAAGTGGGTGTTCAAAAAACAGTGTTTGAATGAACTCCTGAAGAGGAAATCACCCCTGGCTTATTTTCTATAGGGTAATTTCCTTATAACCAATCTCTCTAGTTATATATCTTTCAATTCTCAAGGATCATCTGTAGATAAGCTTATTTTAATTGCTCCTAAAATATGCTGTTTGTCTCAAGACACTCCTTTTTTGGAAATTGTTACAAAGCAAAGGACTATGCCCCCGCCCCCACTGTTTTCCTTAAAAACTGGATAGTTTCTAGTTACAGCCTCAACCCTAGAATATTAAATCATGTTAATACTTGATTCCTATACAGTCCTATTTCACTTAAATGAAACAGAACATTCAAGACAGAGGATAAAAACATATTTTAACTTCAATCACATAGAGAAACTATGATCTTCCAGTTTTTAAGGATTTTCTTTCAACATGGTTATTTATCACAAAAGAAATAGTGTGTGTGTGTATATATATATATGTATATATATATATACACACACACATACATATGGTAAGCTCATATTTTTGACAGATGATGCTAATTTTTTTTAAAGAAATGCATAACTATAGGACAAGTGTTATTTGTAAGATAAAAAGATGGGAGTGCCTGGGTGGTTCAGTCCTTTAAGCGGCCAACTTTGGCTCAGGTCATGATCCAACTTCCTTTGGCTCAGGTCATGATCTCATGGTTCATGGGTTCGAGCCCCTCATTGAGCTCTCTGATGTCAGCGTGGAACCCGCTTCAGATCCTCTGTCCCGCCCCCCCCCTCCGCCCTCTCTGCCCCTCCCCATTCACGCTGTCTCTCAAAAATAAACATTTAAAAAAAAGATGAAATCACAATTTTATACTACAACCTATGAATATCTAATTTGTTGTCCAACTTCTCATTTTGGAAGTTGGGTAATATTTTTGATTGGATGCCAATCTAAAAACAAAAACAAAACCAGTTTCTAAGACAGGTAAATCCCCCTTGTTTGATCATAAACCAGGTTGTAGTACCAAAGTGATTCCTTGGGGCTTGGTTCATAAGAAAAAAAGACAAACTGTTTAACTTATGTTTTCAGTTCTGGGACTTCAAAATATCAATGCTTCTCCATCCTCTAGATACCACAAACTAGAAAGCAAAGGGGAAAAATATATAAATACATATACACAAAAACATATACATATATGTGTATGTTTATATATATGTTTATATATAAACGTGTGTGTGTGTGCATATATATATATATATATATATATATATATATGGCAGGAAAAGAAGTCCTTTTCGATCAGTACACATCTAAATCCTGAATTTGCCTACCTAATAAAGTTCTCAAAAGCTCCCTTCTGGTGAATACTTCTAGTATCCTCAAAATTAAGTTGTACATTTCTAGGCCCAACCTCAGACCTCCTTAATCATATTCTAAGAGTGAGCCTTGGCATTTACATTCCTTAACATGAATTTAAATTATTCTGAAATACCCAAATCCTACATGTAAATGAGAATAAAGAAATAAAGAGAAATAAAGCTACACAGTCATCAAATGACCACTTGCCCTAATCTAGTACATCTATCAAAAGACCTAGAGAATTGCCAGCAATTTTTTGTTTTGTTTTTGGTAATATATAAATTACTACTTCTTAAGAGTTTCACCTCTAACTGCCTAACAGGACATAATAGCTACTGCCAAATAATCTTTAGTACTGGTCCAGTGCATCTTTCTCCCCATAAAAAGTCACCAAAAATCCAAAACCAAACTGGATATCCAGTCTTCAATGTAATTGTCAGCAGTCCCTTCCGAGGGCAAGATCAAAAATATCTCCTGAGCCTAATGGTACTAGGATTCCTTCTTATAAGCCCTTTCTGTAGGTAAGCATATTAAATAGATTACAGCAGTATGTTAGCTGGACAGGTTAACATAGGATACTCATCAAATGAACCCATTATCAGCAGGCAGAGAGCAGTGCCCAAGAAAAATGAGCCACACACACAGCCAGTTTTGACAGAAAACTGGGAAAGCAGAGAAAGTCATATTGGAATCGATGCGTACTGACAGTCAAAATGACAAAACAAACTAAATGTGCCTCCTTTACAAATTTCTAGGTCAGAGGGTGAGACCATTGACAAGATTTTAATTGGAAGCTATGTGGTTCTGAACTGCTGAAAATGGTTTTGTTAAGCTCTCACACCTCTCTATATATGTAGGGATATATCAAAAAGTGGTGAAGATTTTATTAAAAGAGGATGAATGTGCAATAAAAGCCAATATCAAGCTCAGTAAATCCTGTGATTATAAATTCAATGGATAATGAAATACTCTACACCAAGACACCCAGACCTAGGGGAGAAGAATTAGATGTACCTATCCTTTGTACTCAACAGGATTAAGTACAAAGATAAACATACTTTCCACTATACCAAGTCCTGTTTAAAGACACTAGAAAATTGTACAGCTATCCTTCAAAAGTTCTGAAATAAATAACCAGTCCAGTGCTTAAACCTGAAAAGCACTTTAAATTGCTAGGAGCTAATTTTTTTTTTTTTTTTTTTTTTACTTTAGATATTGTAGTTTCTATTCCTTTGTAAAGGACACTAGATAAGCTTCCAAGGAGTGATTAACATATTAAAATGATGCACTGTCAAACTGTCTCCAAAAGATTCTGGAAATCTGGAAGACTGATAGGAAAAGGATTAAAAATCCAATTTCCTACATAAAAGTTAAAGCACTGCTTCCTTTTTGTTCTTCTCCCTGGGACTTTCCATTCACCTCTCAAATGTGACAATTGGCAAGTATTCACATCTAGAGGAACATGTTTTAAGCGGAGAAAAGGCCCTACTTCAAACACTTGAGAATGTACTTTAATTCTGGAGGCACAGGTCCACCACATCAGCTAGCAATAATCTTAACCAAATGGGTGATTCAGCCTTGTTGTGGGGAATTTTTTTAAGTGAAAGTTCACATTTAAAATCCTACAAACATGAAAGCTCCAAGTATTCTAACCAGGACAAAGAAAAAGCCTTGGAATAGTCATTTGAAAGGATTTAATGATTTGTATCAAACATATTTTACACTAAAATACTAGACGGTCTCAAAGTTTACTTTTAGCTCAAATTTTCCTTAATTCTTGGTAACTTTACCCGACTATTTTTAGAGCAATAGTAATAACAAATAGAACCTGAACGAGAAAAAAAAATTCAGAAATAAAGTTGTCATCTTTAAGCCTAATTAGTACAGACAGGAAGATGGCAGTAGAATAAAGCATTCTGAATTAAGGACAAGGAGAAAAGAAGGAGTAATTCGAGTAATTCGCAGTCCCATGAATGAAGCACAGCATACGACAAAGTCTGGCTACGGTTTGGGATATAGTGGACAATGTCTCTGTCTCTTGAGTGGCAAGTGACCCACCTAAACAGGAGTAGATGTTGGCTTCTATTAATGCGACAAACTGTCTACCTGAAGTAACCAACCACCCGCAAGAAAACACATATCAACTAGGGACTAAATCGTCTAGTTTCGCTGTGAATTCTCCCTTACTGGCAGTATTCCTACTCTCTGCCCCAAAAGGGAATCCATATACTCAACGCCACAAAATGGTAACGCATCTCACCCCTATATTGTGACTCTGGCACTTCTGGTCCAAACAAAAGCCATCGGTTTTAACTAGGGTGGGATTTATTCTGTCCATTCAGTACAGAGCTGTGGCTGTTTGCAGGGCATCCTGCAGGCTCCTGCTTTGACTCTCCCCTCAAGTCACATTGTGATATCACCATGACGGACCCCTGATATTTCATGAGCCTTAGACTGAAACACTGGTATTATCAGAAACCCGTGAAGGGAAGCCTGAACGCCCTGCGGAGTGCCTCAGCAACAGAGGGGAGGGTGCCAATGCGGGCGGGCACCTATTGGGCACAGAACAGGACTATGCAAGCCTTTCCGCAAGTTTCCCTTCCTTCCACTAAATTAACCTGCAAAGCCCCCCACCCCCCACCCCGCCCCATTAGGAAAAGTCACGCCGGCAACTCGAGGAAGGACAGGGGAGACCTCTCTCCTTGCACCACAGAAGTTTGGTTTGGCAGTGACCGAGGCTTAACCCTTCCTGCCAAAGAGCCGAGGCCGACACCCGTCTTCTCCAGGGGCAAACCCTGGCGGCCAACTTTCCCCTCCTCTGCGCAAAGCAACCTAAACTTTGCTGTTCGCCCACCTGGCCGCGCAGAGGGTCTGGCGGTACCCGACGCCTCCTGAACCTCGGCAGGCTATGGCACTGACCTTCACGCCAGCCCCTAGTCCCGCGCCGGCCTCTGCCCGCCCGCCCACCCACCCCAGCCTCTAGCTGCCTTCCCCAGTCGGCTTCCACCGCCCCTAAACCCTCGTGGGAAGAAGCCCACGGTGGCGAGCGACTGCAGCCAGACCGACCCCGCGTGTCACGACAGCCAATGTCCCTCTGCTCCCCAGAGAGTCCCGGCCCCGACGCCTCTGACTGCCTACTCACCGTTAGTAAAGGGATCCATTTTCCCCCCGCCGCGGCTCCACAGCCTAAGCGCCCAAGCTTCCTACTCCAAGAACTGAAGCGGCCCTGTCGACTGAGCATGCCCAGCGCGGCCGCGGAGGGCTGTCGGGGAGGTGCAGCTAGGGGCGGCGCCGCTCCGCCGCTCTGAGGTTCCGCTGCTCCGGGTTTTGCAACAGCTGCAGAAAGAGCGAGGGAGGCCAGAGGGAAAAACACCGCACCACCCGAGGCCACCTCTCCAGAGAGGAAGGGGAGGAGCAGGTTAGAGCTGGGGGAAGCATCGTGGGCGGGGCCCGATGAGGCCCCGCCCCTCCAGGAAGTGGGGCTGCTCGAGCTCTTCAGTGCTGGGGGACAGTAGTCAGTCATTTAGCAAATTTGACGGTCTACTGCGTGCCGGCCCGGCGAAGTCTTAGGCGCCGGAGCCGGACACTGCGCCCAAAAAACAACGACCATTGCCCCTCGTAGTGGACATTGCACAGACAGACAATAAACAGACACAGAAGGCACACAAGACTGAAAGATTGGTCCCGCTGAGCATTAAAGGGTGATGTGATGGAGAGAGAGTGGAGAACTAATTAAGACGGCGTGGTGAAAAGAGGCCTTGCTGAGAGGTGCCACTGAGACAGCGATCTGAAGGCAGAGCTCGCGCCTGCGGGCGCAGGTCGCTCCCCGGAATGCGAAGCTTCGGTTTCCCTGGGGAGACTGGTTCCAGATTGCTCACTTCGCCAAGGCCCGAGGGAGTAGGGGCTGTGGGTCATGCCCTCAACAGAGTGGTCCCCTGCGGTCTTTGGCCAGCAAACTGAAGCAAGGGCGAGGACCCCCGCAGGGTCCGAAATGCCCGGGTTCAAGTCCTCAGGCCACAGGTTCCGGGCGCGGCCTCTACATGCAGGCAGATCACAAAACCTGGCTCTGGATTCCCCCGGGCTGCAGGCGCCGCAGTTTGTGAGCAGAAGGCCTGCCGGAGCCTAGCTTTGAATCAACACCTGCGGCTCCCTTGGGTGCAGCTGCTGGGGCCTGCGGACAGGCCTGGCGGAGCAAGGTTGGAGAAACGGAAACTCTCTTAGCCTGTCCCGCCTCTCCTACTCGCGCCATTGCCTCCAATCCCGAGACAGCATTGTTTTCAATGTCACATCCAGGCATACCCGACGAACCTTCGGAATGGAAGAACCAGGGGCCCAGTGAGCCCCGAGTTCGTGGGGACCCGCCTCCTTATCCCTTGTTCGAAATGGCATCGCCGCCACGCTCGCAGCGAAAGCCTCGGCCCTCCCAGCGCGCAGCCACAGCCTCCTTCCCCTCCTCCACTCCCGCAGCCCTGGCCCCTGCAGCGACTTGGCTCTGGCTGTGCCTCCCTGCGCCTGCCAACTGTCACACACTCCTCCGTGGCTGTCAAAAGCAGGACGTCGGGTGCAAACAAGCCGCCGACGAGCGCAAACAGCCTGGGCAAACGGGGACGCCTGGGGTGCCGTTTAACCCGCACGGAATTAGAAATTAGGTTTTAGAGAAGTGAAATATATGTGCAATATTGTATTTTTGAATGTCAGTTGTACTAAATCACCCACTTTCCACTCACGCTGTAAAACCGCCAATGGATACAATAAAAGTGAAACTCCTGGTCTAACTCTGGAACCTCATCTACACTTGCTAACGATGTTTTGGCCACAGAGGCCTTCTTTCAGCCCCTGGAAGTCCCCAAATTCTACCCGGCATTGTTAGCTATTCCTCTTGCATGTTCCTTGCGCAAGAAGGATCCCTTCTGCCTGGTACTTCGCCTGCTGGTATCTTCTTGTCATTTAGGTCTCAGCTCAAATGTCACCTCTGCAGAGAGCCTTTACCTGACCACGGTGGAAAATAGCCACATAGCGTCTTCTCTAAAGACAGGTCCCTCTTCTCTTTTCTTCACAGCACTCATCACTCTCTGAAACAATGTTTCTGTTTGTTGTTTCATTATTCTCAAACTCCCTCTCAAGAATGTAAGCTCCATGACTGCAGGGTCATTACCTTTTAAGGGCTGTATCCTACCAAAGATAAGTATGCCATAAATAATTTATGAATGAATTTGTGAACAGATGCGATGGTAGTTAGAGTTCTAGTTCACTTGGAATGTTGAAAACTCTGCCAGAGAACATCTCTGTATTGAGTGCTGTCTTTGTGATCAGTCCAGAGAAGATGTCAATCTTAGGATACCTCAAAGCTGCTCTCTCCCTACTGTGTTAAAGATAATCAGAGGCCTTAGGCTGCCTCCTCCCCCAGGCACTTCAGAAGCCCAAACAGGAAGTGAACCACATGATTGGTGCCATCTGTGCTCAGATATTATATAGTATTTGCAGTGCTCGGATATTATATAGTATACGCAGGGCCGGATTTTGTTAAAAGAACTCTGCATCTTATATTGCTCAGAAAAATAGACTCATCCTTATACTTTAGGTCATGACATGTTCTTTTGGAGTTATTTTTGCAGTCAAAGCACTTAATATCAGAGATATTTAAAACTCCCCAGAGTGTCAAATCACCTCATCTCACCTTACCTGTAAGCTAGAGTCTATCATGCTTTTAAGTGTGAAACACGTTATCTTGTGTTTTGTCTTAAATACTTTAATTCTGCAGAGACTTGTGGTAAAAATGATTCACCACTGCGTAGCAAATATAGGTGGGTCATGTCTACCTGAGATTTCTTTGAAATAGAGATAAATAATTTCTTTGTCCTCTTTGCCAACCTCTTGCCTCCCATCCCTCCCATTCCTACACACACACACACACACACACACACACACACACACACACTCATACACACAGACATTAAGGACATTTAAAACTTGTGGCTTTGTAATGGAGGTAAAAGAAGTGAACAACTAAAATATTTCAGAATCCTGCCTACCCTCAAAAGAATAATAATAAATTTTGTTTTGCTGTATTCTGGGATTTCTTTGTGGGTATTTTTGTTTATTTGGATACCATTTTACATTTGACTTCATAAAGACTTTTTGAGGGAACACAGTTTGACAAATTTGCTATTGATTATGTGTCAGTCTTTAACTTCCTCTTCTCCTCCTACCCAGAGTTGCTTCTTTAAGGATATAATACTTTAAATTATAATGAAGTTATTATTCATTATCAGAGGAGATAGTGTGACATTATCTTCTATACCCATTTACTATTTTCAAAATTCTTGCTGCCTACCATTTAATATTTGAAAACCAAAAATTTGGAGGACTAAACATAATATATAATAAATAACATGAAAGGAAAAAATATAAGCTCCCTGAGTAACAAATAGCTGTATTTATAAAAAGGCAGCAAATTTGCTAATCAATGGATATAGAAACATTTTTTTTAATCAAAATAAAGAATTTGGTCTGCCATGGATCAACTAATCCAAGTCTCAATTTAATGGATAAGATGAATTCTGGAGAGGCTGGAGGATTTATTCACAGTCCCATAGCAGACAGAGACTAGAAGTCAGGTGATCTGTGTTCTAAACCAATGCTCGGGAGTTTGTGGTTGCTTACCAATTCTCACAGGAAACTTAGGGTCATTGGCAATAATACACAAAAGGGATATGTAGTCAACAGAAATATAGCTAGCTTCATCCTACTAGAATACAGTTCCATTAATTATTTAATTAATATTCCTATTTAATTTGCTAGTATTCCGTGTGACCGTTATGTTTAGCATTATTAAATATCTTTTCTAATTACACTGAAATAAGCTAAACACTACCTTAATTTGGTGCAAAAATCTGAAAATGATATTTATTCAGCACTCTTTTTTTTTTTAATTTTTGTTAATGTTTATTTATTTTTGACAGAGAGAGAGAGAGAGAGAGAGAGAGAGAGAGAAAGAGCATGAGCAGGGGAGGGGCAGAGGGAGAGGGAGACCCAGAATCTGAGGCAAGCTCCAGGCTCTGAGCTGTCAGCACAGAGGCTGACGCAGGGCTCGAACTCACAGATGGTGTGATCGTGACCTGAGCTGAAGTCAGACACTCAATGGAGTGAGCCACCCAGGCACCCCTATTCAGCACTCTTGAATACACAGAGGATGATGCTTGTTTCCAGGACAAAGGTGACCACCATGAGGTTTCCAGTGACTCCAGACTCTACCCAGTCAACTTAAGGACCAGAGGAATCAGTGCCTCATTACATCCGTAGCCTATTTGCAACACACATGCTCTGCATCATTTAGTGATGTTTGAAGCTATAACAAATTAAGAAATGTTTAGAGCACTAAGGAAAGCAGAATAATTATGCAACAGAGTTCTTGTAGAGCTTAAACATTAGCAAAAAGATTCAGTTAAATAAACTAGAAGGTTATTAGAAAGGAACAGTTATATAGTAAGTCGGATGCTTTGAACTACAAGAATCAATATGCTGAATCAAACTAGCACGGACATCAAGGAAATTTTTCATCTCATGTTAAGTGCAGAGATAGAATAGTGTCTGGTCACAGCTCCCAACCTCACCGAGAACCCAGCTTCTCATTCTGTCTACTCTGTGAACAATTTTCCGAAAGACTGAGTGCCATGTGGACAAAAAGGGGGTTGCATCAGAGAAGGCAGAAGGAATATTTTCTTTGGTGTGTCTTCCTCAAGAGCAAGGAAACTTTTCTCAAAAATCCCCCATTAAGATTCTCCCTAGGTTTCAATTGCCAAAACTGCATTTTGTACATTTCTAAACCAATCACTAGAAATAAAAACAGGGTTACTATGAATGGTTCCTTACACAAAGTAGAGTTTAGGAATGCTGAGTTAGGATTACTTCCCTATTTCATATGGGAGAGGTGGGGGGACTTGGGCAAAATCATTTTTATTATTCAGAAGGGTGAAGGGAGGGTTAAGCAACCAAAATATCAAGCAGGCAGTCTAAATGTCAACTGAAGGTTATGAACACTGATATATTTTAATAATATTTTGATAATTTCTTTAAACCCTAAGACATTTGTCACAGGAAAAGTAAAGACAGAGCCCAATTCAATGTAATTTTGCATATAATTTATCAATGGAATCAGGATTCCAAACCAAGAAACGGTATATTATTAAACTTCAAATTATGATCTGGAAGTAACTACTAAAATAGAAAAATAAATTGGACATTTATATTTGTTTGTGAAGGCTGTTGTAAAAGTTATCACAATCTAGGTAGCTTAAGCAACAGAAATGTATTGTCTCATAGTTCTGGAGGTTAGAAACCTAAGATCAAGGAGTCAGCAGGGCCATGTTCTCTCTGAAGGCACCAGGGAAAGATATGTTCCAGGACTCTATCCTAGCTTCCTTGGCTGGTGGCAGTGTAACTCCAGTCTTCAGGTGGCATTCTCCCTGTGTGCACACCTGAGTCCATATTTTCCCTTTTAATAAGGGAAACTAGTCATACTGGATTAGGTGCCCACCCTTTAACAGTATGACCTCATCTTAACTAATTAAATCTACAAAGATCTTATTTCCAAGTAAAGTCACATTCTGAGGTAATCAGGGCTATGACTTCAACAGTGAATTTAGGAGGAGGGGGCGGTGCACAATTCAACTCATTATAGCAGTATCTTTCTAACAAAGTTGAAGATAAGTATCAAGAAAGATTTGACTTCAAAGGATATAATCAGGAAGTAAAAAGACAACACACAAAATGGGAGAAAATATTTGCAAATCATATACCTCACAAGAGACTTGTATCAAGAATATATAAAGAACTCTTGCAACTGAAGAATAAAAGATAAGTCAATTAAAAATGAGCAGAAGATCTGAATAGACATTTCTCCAGTGAAGACATACACATGACCAATAAACACATGAAAGGAGGGTCAATATCATTAGCCATTAAGCAAATGCAAATCAAAACCCCAATGAGATGCCACTTCACATTATGGCTAGGCACAGGCATAGGATGGCTAGAATCAAAAAGGCAGACATAATAAATGTTGGCCAAGATGTAGAGAAATTAGAACCTTTACGCACTGCTGGTGGGAATATAAAATGGTACAGCTGTGTTGGAAAATAGTCTGGCTGTTCTTCCAAAAGCTAAATATAGAGTTAACAAATGACCCAACAATTCCACTGCAGGTATAAAGCCAAAATAATTGAAAATGTGTATCTATACAAACATTTGTACATTAACGTTCATAGTGGCATTGTTCATAATAGCCGAAAAGTATAAACGACATAAATGTTCATCAAAGAAGCCAGTTACAGAAGACCATATATTACATTATTCCATTTATATGAAAAGTTCACAGTAGGCAAATGG